AATGTTTAGTCAGGCCTTTCAGAAAAGAGTGTGTACTCATCTATCAGTTATAGGAAAAATGTGTGGGTGTACATATTGATCATGGAGAGTAATCAGGGACCCTTTATTTTTCAAACTTCTCTTCTGGGAGAAAGGCAATGGCCTGAATGTAATCGACAACCACTCAGATGAAGATGAACCTTTAAATCTAGATACAGATAGACATTTGAGATATGCAGCCACCAGACTGAGGTACTCTGTGTCATAGTTCAAGGGCTTATGGAAATTCAAAATGAAGGAGAGCTTGATTAGGTCTTTTGCCCATAAAGCACATGAACTGTGCATCAGTGCCACATAAATGTAAGCATCCTTTAAACTGCATGACAATCTCCCTGGGATAAGAAGTTCTTTTATCAGTGATTCCTTCTGGCCTTATAATCTACTCTGACTTCTAGTGTAATGTGTTATGGAAAGAAGGGACAGTGATCATTAACCTCAATCCTTAGGGACCTATTCAGGTTTTGAATTCCAGAAGGGACCTACAGATTGTTGCTCCTGTTAGGCATCAGGAATAGAGGGAATAAAAGCCTTGTCCTTAGCGGTGCTTTGGAGTGTCCTTTGAGAAAGGAATTCACAAAAGTACCATGCAAAGTGAGAGAGATCCCAGAACTGGGATGGAGAAAGAAGGTTGTAAGGCAGTCAGGTGCAGAACTGGATACTACAAACTGAACCTCTCTAGTCTGACAATCTCGGAACCAGACTGGTGCCAAACCAGAGAATTTGCCAATTCATGGGAGGTCAATTACCTACACTCCTACTGCTTGCTGGGCTCGTAGGAAACATTTAGGGGTAAATTAGAGCTAAATTACAGCACAGAACACTGAGAGCCAGCACTGGTGGCTGTAAAGTTTTATGGAATCATGGAAAACTTGACCACACCCATTTTAAGTGGGCATCTGACAAACTAAAATCATGCCAGACCATGGATATTTCCAGACCAGAGTGTGACAGACTAGAGCAGTTCAACCTGCATTGAAAATGACATCCAGCACCTCACTAATAAAAATAATCATCCACCAAGAGGAGGTCTCAATCAGTTCAATGACCGAAGAAGTCACATAGTCATCTACTAAGACCTTCTGCACATCACGTACCACTAAGTAATACAGCAGTAACTGATGTAACTTAAGTAACATAATGCTCAGAGGTCTAAATTACTGAGTGCCAAGTACAGAGAACAGAAGGGGCCAAAGTGCCCCAATGCCTGTAATGGCAGGGAACTGATATAATGAGAAATACCTAGATAATCCTCGTAAACTACCAGTGTTTTAAGGAAGAGGAAGACAAAAAACTCTTAAAGCCCCAAACAATCTAACTTGGGGAAAATTCTATCCCAATCCTGAATATGGCAATCAAAACAGTTGGATTCTGAGCAAGACAGACCAAACAGCCAAGTATTTGAGAACAGTTTTTCTCCCCCGCCCCCCTTCCCTCAGAGTACCAATTCAGGTCTGATGTGCATCTCCAGGGATGACTATATTGTATTCTTCAAAGGAAGCAAGCCCCCCCCCCCCCAGTATTTATTGAGGGGGGGGAGTGGTGTGAGATTTTCTTTTTGGCCTCCACAATCTGAAGGCCTGAGAATGAGATTAATAAAAAACAAATGGAAACAGAGAGCGAGACAGGACCAGAAGGGACTCCGAGGCTCCATATCCAGCCACCAGAGGCACCATAAAAAACTCACTTAAATCTAGAAATTTTGGGGTGGGCTTATAGATCTGGAACCTGTGGGCTAAGTTTGGGTAACTTTAGGTTACTACTCCTACCATGCACACACCTGAAAAATTTAAGCATGTCAATTTTAGAGGACTTAAATGTGTCTAGGCCAACATCTGATGGAAGTTAAGAAACTTTACTTTCCATGTGGGCAGTATAATCCAGAATTATCTACATTAGGACTCCTTGAATCTAAGTATTTAGTAACTGTCACTATGAACACAACTGAAATGTTCTTAAAAATTTGAGGCGTGCCACTGCTATTTCTCTCCTGAACTTGGGAAAGACATGTTCATAGAAGTAGAAGAGGGTCAAATAAAGTCCTCAAAGGCCTATCTTGGTAATAAAATGCAGACTGGATTAAAAACTAGCAAAATGTCTTGCTTTTAGTTCATTGTCAATATTCCCAAATTAACCTAAATTAAATATGAAAAGTTGCATAATTTTCTGTTGGCACATGAAGTATTACAAGGATAGTCTGTAGATGCAGTGTTAATTGACTGCTGGCTGAAATAGACTTTTACATGCAAATCAATTCAACACACCACAAAAATCTGGAAAAAGATGAACAGGCAAATAAAAGGGTCTACCACAGAGAATGCCAATGATAAACAATGGGCAATGTATTATGTGGAAAATAACCACCAGTCTGGCACCTGCCATAGGCTGGCAACATTTACTCTCCCACCAACCTTATGATCAAAGGGTGTAGAAAAAACCGGATAGGCTAGGATAGGCAGGAATGGAAGGCAAATGGCTGGTGAGCATGTTGATTAACACGAAGGGAGAAGTGGAAACTACAGGAGGACAGTCTGATGCACCAAGCCCAGAGATGAAGTGAAGGAAGAGGTTTACAAGAACAGATTAAGATGTACATAAAAGAACAATGCACGTGTTTGTTTTTTGACTTTTGCTCTGTGTGCCATTTTCCTTTGGGTGAAGAAATAAATAATGTTTTGTTTTGAAAAAGCTGAGTCTCTCAGACACTGTCAAAGGCTCCCAAAATGAAAGACTTATGGGTGACAAACCAATTCAGCTAGTTACTGCAGCTAATTACCAGGGGGGCTGCAGCCAAGAAATCCAGTCTCTGATCAGATGAACTGCTTGGTTGCATCCAGAATGGGGAAAGGTAGCAAAACCAATAATGAACCAAATATTGGGCTGCAATCAAGAAGCTAGATTGAGAGCGCAAAACTTAGCTTACACAGAACTGCAACAGTAATCTCATGAATATGCCTTTAATAAGTGTGCAAAAACTAGCAGCAGCAACTCCTTTATAATATACTGAAAACTGAAGGAATCTATACAAAACTCTTCTCAAATATTTGAATTAACAGTTGGAAATGTGGATGAAAGAATTACTTTGATATGTAAAAGAAAGAAAAAGATAGCCTTGACACATTACCCATGAAAACAATTCGCTATTTGAAATACCACTACTGCTATAAAAAGGTGCACTTCTTCGCACTGACATGCATAACTCAATTCTCTAGTACAGATGCTTGGAAACATGTATTAAAAAGTGAGTGAAATTTTTCTGCAAAACTCAATTTTGGCTAGAATGCCAAGAAAAGTGTTTCAGTTACCAATATTAAGAAAATAAATTAGCACCTTCTATCAATAAAGTTGTGTTGACTACATTCTATATAGTATTATTGAACTGACTTTAAAATTTAGTTTGGTGTTCTAGAATTCTATTTTCTTTTTTGCATCCTTTCATCTGCAGTGAGAAGGGGAAGGCCCAGAAAGTCTACTGAGGAGAAAAGGCAGGTTAGTGGCCTGCTCACATAATATAGAAGAGGTTATTCTGATTTTTGGTAGCCCATCCTTGGGTTTCCCTCCAAGAGGGAATCATTTAGCCCTACTTCATACTAATGTTATATTAAGTGGATTAAAAGGTGTATTAAAAGCGCTTGAGTTATTCTTGTCTGACTTTCAGTATAAGATTGACAGTATTGTCTGATAATTGTACAGGTTGAACTTCTTAAATCCAGGACACTTTGGTACAGCAACATCTGTGGTCCAGCAGGATCATGGATGTTGCTGGACCAGAGCGCCCCAGCACCCAGGAATGCGAGTCAGTCAGGGAGTTCAGCAGAGGGAAACCCCACCATCAGAGCAGTGAGCCCCATCTCTGGAGAGCCTGGCCAGGCAGGGCAGCTGCGGGACCAGCAAGCCCCATTCCTGGCACAGCAGCAGCAGGGCCGCCACTGAGCCCCAGCCTCGGGGAGCCCCGGCTGGGCGAGGCAGCAGTGGGACCGGTGAGCTCCATCCCCAGGGAGCCCCAATAAGTGGGGCAACAGCAGCAGGGGGCAGCCAGAGTCCTGTTCCTGGGAAACACTGGCAGAGTGCCACAGCAGCAGGGCAGCAGCAGAGCTTAGTCCAGTGGTCCCCAAACTTTGTGTGGCGGGCGCCACATCGGTGGGTGACGTCATCCTGCTGTGTCACCCATGCCAAGTGCGCCTGGGCCGGCACCAGACCCCACACCGCGGCCATTTCACCGCTCCGGACCGGCCGCTCTGCTCCTGCAGCTTCCCTGTGGTGCTCCCCGGAAGGTTCTCCCGCCGCCGGTGCTTTCCCACGCCCCGTCACAGCGCGAGTTTGGCCCCGCAGAGCGTGAGGCTCATCCTCTCCCGGACACCCCGTGTCACGAGCCCGACTAGGCGGGCGCACATAAATGCCCTTGTGGGAGTCATGATGCCCGCGGGGACCACTGGCCTAGTCCCTGGGAAGCACTTGGGGGGGGGGGGGAAGGGGGAAAAGTAAGGCATCTGTTGAGCCCAGTCCCTGAGAAGCCTCGAGTGAGGCAGAAGCGGGGCCATGGTGGCTAGGGAGCTCCATCCCCAGAGAGCCCCAACCAGATGGTGGCAGCGTGCCGAGCGCCTGTTGCAGCAGGGCTGGAGCCCAGTGGAAGTGGGTCTGGAGCAGAGCCAGCCAGAGGAAGAGGCAGTATCCTGGGAGACCAGTGGCAGGGAACTCCCCTGATCCAGCAAGTTCCCTCATTCGAGACTGGTCAGGACCCGAAGGTGCCAGACCAGGGAGGTTCATCCTGTACTTGCTTGAACTATAAAGCTGTGGAACTAAGTAACAAGCAGCCTCTGATAACCCACTGGTATCTTCTAGATTTGCCTTGAATAAGAAAATATTTCTTCCTGAGACTAGTAAATCATGAAAATTGCAAGTCCATATCAACAAATAGTAACACAAGGCAGAATTAAAGGTGTGTACAGAAGATGGAGACTTACTGTGTATGTGACAGCTGCCAACATTCCAATCAAGGTCAAGGAACTAATGGAAAATGATAGAGCAGCCAAACCATCTGTAATAGAAAAGCAGAGAAAAACCTGCTAAAAATGGATATACGAGACATGATCCTGAATGAAAAATGGATTGCTTTCCTAAAGTTAAAAAAATTTCTTCATTAAACTAGATTGATTTAAAATGTTAGCCAACCATAACAATTAGTTAAAACAATGTTATGTTAGTTTAATTACCAATACACAGGCATATAAATCCAAGTAAAGCATATGAAAAAACCATATTATACATAAAACATACGAGAAAGAATGGCAATTTGAAAATTGAACAAATGAATGAGGTATCACTGAAAGGGAGAAAGAAGTTTTAACATGGTAACAGGGTATAAAAAGGTAGCACAGATATTAATCCATGAAGTCCTTTAATAAAGATGAACAAGTTGTGCTTGATGTTCTAGACAGGGGAAGCCAATGGAAGGATACAAAGAGGTGTGATACGGTCAAAATGATCTACAGCATGATGTTTTCAGTGGATAAGTGAGACAAGGCTGTATTAGTCAATGCTGGAGAAAAAAAAACAGTACACAGAGAAGTTGACTGGAGAGACTATGTTAGAAAATAACTATTTTTGAATTAGTAATTTATATTCTTATGGAAAAAGACTGCTGCCCTGCCTGGCGGGCTTTCCTGTGCTGAACTACCTGACTGGCTTGCATTCCCAGGTGCCAGGGCTCTCTGGTCCAGCAACATCTGTGATTCTTTTAAAATACATACCAACTAGAACTCTAACAACTTTGTACATCAGATAAGAGCCATTCATTAAATCCATGCCAACAGCCCAAACCACTACATTACTATTTTCAATTCCAATTACTATTTTGGCATGACTGAGAACAAAAAGTTTCATTTCTTTTCCTTCAGTGAAAAATGGAAGTAATTTTATTTGAACATGTCCCATCAAAAACTTAAGCCAATCTACAAACATAAGACGCACTATTTCATCTGCCATATTAATTTTTCTAATAAAGGGTAAAAAAATTTACAAGTAAAAAAAACTATGGTGTCAGGCACAGTCTCTAGAAGTTTAGTCTTTCATCAGTTACCTAAAGTCACACTTCTGAATGGCACACTCAAGCAAGGGTATTATTTCTTCTTTAGTTCCAGGACTACATACCTGAGTGCAGAAAGCCATGACTGTCTATGTTTAAATATTCTTGTTCTATACCTAGGCTGGACAGGGGTGAAAACTGCAATTCAATATTCTTTCCTATGCAAAAACAAAACCTGAAAAAACCCAGGAATTCTATTTCATAAGTATCAAAGTTATCTTCTGTTGCATAGTAAGTTTGTGATTTTTCTTTAGATTTTTTGCTTATACATAAACCCATTATATTAATTCCACAAAAGAATGCACATTTGGTTAACAAGATGTGCTAAGCCACAAGAGTCTAAAAACCACAATGTGCCTGCAAAGTGTTTGTTGAAACAAAATGTAAGTACAAGTGCTCTGATTTAATTATCCATCAAGAACAGTGCAGTTTAATAGTCTTCCAACTTCAAGCTATCAAGCCCTAGTAGAAACTTCAGCAAAACGGAAGTATAACTGTACCATTGGTTAGAAGGGGATACTAAAACCCAATCGAGGCCAATGCCCCCTTCCCCCCAGCCAAGAACTAGAATTGTGCAGAGAAGTCTCCTATTCTGGGGGCACCTCCATGACCCACGTGACCTCACCTCATCCCCAGACATCTGATCTCAGGAACTAAAAACATTACTGGAGGAGCCAGCCAGAAACTGAACCAGTTAGAGCAGACAATATTAGTTGAAAGCAGAAGCCTGAAGACTCAGATGTCATTTGCATCCACTAGTTTTTGAAAGCTTTTAATCTGGACATTTTCCCCTCTAATAATCAATTTGCTCTCTCAGTTTTTTTACTTGAACCTTGTTTTACCTGATGTCTATGCTCCTTTCTTTATCCCTTCACATTTCCTTCTCCTTACCTTTCATTTTTCTTCTCAACTAATCCCCTCTTCCAACGTAACTCCACAGAAAAACCAAGAACAAGGATACATAATGCTTGAAAGCACCATGCTGTTCAGTTTCCTTACAGATTAAATTCCTCCCTCCTACTCTTTATCTTGCTATGCCCATGTAGCAGCTATGACCCGAATTCTTCTCCTTTGGGCCTTAGAAAAAGTGAAGCCAAGTCCGGTCACAATTATGCATATATACCCAAACCAAGATTAGATTAGTCTACAGAAGTAGGTGGGGCTATTTCTGGGGATCACTCAGAAGCTGAAGTTTTCCTAAATGTAGCATCCATTGTCTGCAGTAAAATTTGTAAGTCATGTAAATGCCACGTTACTATTATCTCACAATAGGAACGGGTGGACTATCAGCCTCTGGATGGAGTTAAGTATTAGTTTTAAACTAGATGCGGACCGTATTTTAAGAACCTGGTTTTCTGAAAGATTGCCTTTCACCTCACACTACTACTATCAGACACTTACTCAAAGATGGCAGCCCACATTTAAGAAGGGAGGTTTTGGGGGCAGGGTGTTCCTTGAGAGGGTTCTTTTAACTTTTGTCTCCACTCAAGGTCCTTTGCCATCCAGAAATAATTTCTAGGTATGATGAAAAGCTCTTCCTTCCAGATATTTGGAGAGGGGATCCACTGACTAATATGGTGGCAAGAAGCTAGGTTACGTTGTGGGCATTTACATAGATTTTGGTTGATTATTTGTAGTGCAAGGTTAGTGAAAGATTAATGCGACACGCAAGAATTTTGGATTATAGCTCTGTTCTTACAATGTTATTATGACACTTTTCAACTCAATTATTTCCATTAATTAAATCTTTTAACGTAGACTGCCTTAATACATAAATTTGTCAGAGCAAGTTATTTAAAGGTGGCAATATATGCATATAAACAATACCTATATTTACTGTAAAATCCCACAGAATATAAGAACATAAGTGGATTCTTGAGAGGCAATACCTTGCCAAAGCCACATGACTGCCTGCCAGTCCCTTTCAATGTAGCCTTTATCCAGCCCCATCTAAGCCCTTGGATTCCAAGTACATATTGCCCAACCTCATTAACAGTTGGCCCACTGATTGTCACTGCATATTTAATCTCACTTTATAAAAGAAATGCACCTTATTTAAAAAGGCAATACAGTAATCAAGCCTCTCCATTTTATTGGAACTGCTGTTACTCTGTATCTGGTAAGGAAACCAAGCTTTTTCTTCCCTTCATCTAGAACTCTCCCTCCCTAGGGTGATCTGAGGTATTCAGAGGAATCTCCCTCACATATGCTCACACTAATCCTCTGTTGAGATGCACAGACTAAGCTAAGAAATAAGTCTCAAAGCTGAAGTACTAGCATAGAGTCAAGCAATGGGAAATCACTTCCTCACCAAGCGTGTCTGTGGATGAGGGCTGCCAGAACTCTTGGGCACCAAGAAAGGGCTGTTCACCAGTTCTACTTCCCCACAGTGCATTACAAAACTGATTTAACAGGGCCTTGTATAGAACAAAGAAAATATGCCACATTTTCCTAAACAAATAATTCACTTTCATATAAAATTATTTTTCTGAGGGTAGGATTCAGTGTCAAGTCAACCAGCAGCATTATAACCACTTCAGTTATTTTTCTGGAATATCAAAGTTGGATATAATTTTAAGTATTCTATTTTAGATTTTAAAAGTTTATTTTTATGATACTACAGTAGTAACAGCTACACACTTAAACATTCAATACTTGTTCAGATTCATTTGTTGTCAGCAACAGATAATTTTCCCAGTATAAAAACACCCTAAATATAAAATGTACACACCCAAAGGTGGTTTATTTGGCCATTTTTATGGATCCTTTCTGCAAGAAATGCAATTTGTTTATTTGTAATTCTCCACCACTCAAATCTGAAAACTAGCATATTAGAATGATGATTGATGCATTTCATTTCAGTGTAAATGCAAATCCTTTAAAAAAAATCACTTCACAACTGCTAGTAGCACTTTCAGAACTCCATGTTCTTTGGTTTGCAAGCTATCATTCTAGGTTTTCTAATTCTGTGTTTTGACAGAAAGCAATCATCTGTAACTTAACAGAAAAATTCTATTATAAGAGTTGAAATTCCATTGAAGGTTTGGCGATTTCTATGATGCAAGACCAACAGTTTAAAAGCACAGAGACTGTAAAAACAACACCTTCTTACTGATAATATACAGTCACCTTCATCCAATGGGAACGTACTAAGAACCAACACTATTCTTTATTGGCTAAGCATCAAATTTTCTTTGATTTAGTCTAACAAAACTGCTTGACTGATCTAAGTTCTTATTCCTATTTGCCCCACACAGCAAATATAGTTATAAGAACAAGCTGGAATCTATTCTGGCTTGTATTAATACGATGACTACAGAATAGTTACTAGTGAGGATGCTAAGCCTTAAAAAAGTTTGACTTAACAGGTTGTACACCAAATTCCCAAGCCTAGACGTTTAAAAATGCTAATACAGTAATTCCTCATTTAACACAGTAGATACGTTTCAGAAAATGATCGTGCTAAGTGAAAATGTGTTATGCGGGGTCAATTTTCCCATTGACAATAATGGAAAAGGTAGGGGTTGCATTTCAAGCACATGTGCACTGGCAGCTCCAGCCTGCACTTGTTAGCAGCTGGGACTGGGACATAAGGTTGGGGGAGAAAGGGGACTGGGTTATAGCAGGGAGGGGAGGTGTTTGGTTCTGGAGAAGGGAAGGGAAGGACAGGGGAAGGGGCTTGCAGCTGGAGGCTGGGGTTCCCCAGCTGGCCAGTCACCGGCAGCTGCCTGGGGCTTCCCCTGCCTCCTTACAAAGCAGAAGAGGTTTGTCACTCACCGCACAGTTCCCTGGTGATCCCCTCTGGCCAGATGCCTTGCATTCGGCCGGAGGGGGTCACGAGGGAATGGCGTTGTGAGTGGCAAACCTCCGCGCTTTGCAGAGAGGCAGGGGAAGCCTTGCACAGCTGCCAGGGAAAGTCATGTTATTGCGGGGATGAGGTCATGTTGTTTGAAAAATGTTCCCTAAAAAAAAAAAATCATGCTATCGTGAAAACGTGTTAAATGTGCACGTGTTAAGTGAGGAATTACTGTACAGGTTAAAATGCCATAAACCGGGACTCTCTGATCTGGCAACACGCATGGTGTGGGCAGGGATGTTACAGGACCAGAGTCCAGGTGAATGGCCAGCAGCAGGGAATCCTGCAGGGATGGTAGGGCAGTGGGGCAAATTGGATATAAAGGAAGAAATCTGTGCTTGATGGACATTTGACCACCTCTAGTTCCTCTCCCAATGACTGGCCAGCCATTGGATATCTGCAGTGATCTCCTTAAGGCATATTTACCCAGGATCTTATGGAAGTATCTGGGATTTGGGGGAGACGGGTGTTTTAATAACTAGTTGTAGATGCATGTAAGTGCTTGGGACTTAAGTAAAATATAGTTTTAAGTGAGAGTGATTGAACAGCCATGGCTCTATTCATTTCTTGACATCACCTTGCAAGTAACATTACCAAGAGCTTGGAATTAAAAAAAAAGTAAAAGTGTCTCTAATATTTTGTATTCCTCAGAATTATTCTATTTTCAATGCTTCTCAGCACCCTCTGCCTACTGCTTAGTGCTGAACGGTAGTCTATCACGTTTTCATATACAATTTTTCCTTAAAACATTAAGGATTTACAACTTTGAGTAGTTTAATTCCCCTCTTCAGTAATCACAATTATGCTACTTTATTACCTGTGTTAAATTAGATTTTAGAAATTGTCAACACCATTCAATTTTTTTTTTAATATTGTCATCATAGTCTTCTAAGAATAGACTATTCTATTCTTTACACAGATCCCTGCTGCTCCTCCTTAATATCCCTCAAATGTCTTCATTGGAGAAGAGGCAAACTCAAGCAGCCTTCTACACTACGGCCATGTCTACACTACAGGTAAGACTGAAGCAGCTGCAGTTGATCTTCTGTGGTTTGAATTAGCAAGTCTAGTGAAGACAGTTGAAATTAGCATAAAAGGGCACTCCCGTTGATGCCAGTAGTCCTGCTTCTAGGACGAGTAAGAGAAGTTGAAGGGAGACTGTGCTCTCCTACTTCCCACAGTGTGAACGGCGCCAAAATTCAAGTTAAGATACTTCAACTTAAGCTATGCATTAACAGAGCTAAAGTTGCTTATCTTAATTTGAACTTATCCCCTATTGTAGACCAGGGTTATGGAATTTGAGGTATATCTGGCCCCCATCAAGAAAATTTGATATCACCTCCCTATTCTGCAAAAGAGTGTGATACTGTCTGCTGCAAAATATAGAAGGAAAACTAATTCCAGGCCCTAATAGTGCAAGGTTTTCAAATACTTGGTTATAATTCTGTGTATAATTCTTATACTTAAGAGAAGTATAATTAACTGTTTCATGCCTAGCTCAAAACACAAACTTCTTGAAAGAACTTACGACTGCTTCCAAGTTCCTCAAACAGAAATTTCACTTTCTCCCACTCAGTGGAATTTCTCTTCTGAGGAATCGCCAATGGAACAAAGGCACTGTAACAAGAAAATAAGTTACTTTATTTTTAAATCGTCATTACAGCTTTTGAAATTCCATAGGCAGCTCCATCTACCCCCACAGAAAAATCTGCAGCAAGCTGGGATTTTCATACATTATATATTATACATGCATATATACACACAGAGAATATTTTCTTCCCAAGCAATTTTCCATTTCAATTCATATTCCCTTCATACTAGCTCTACTTTTGCATAGTTTCCAACGTTACAAATATTCTGCCTGTAAGTTATGAATTTAATAGCCCTCTCTTCAGTTAAGATAGAGATTCTAGACAGGTAGTTTATTTCAGTGTACAGCTCTGGGTTCTTCATGCATAGAAAATAATGAAAGACATGTTATCAGCTGTAGCAGCAGTGGCCATCTGCACAGTTAAGAGTGGGACTTAAGCACTTCAGTTATCTATTCCATGTTAGTGCTGTGCAACACCCTTTTTATACTGCTGTAGAAAATGCCTGCTAAACTAAGCTAAACTATCTCCATTATATATTTGTCTAATTTGAATATTTAATGCTAATTTGCACAATAGTTACTCAACAAGTCTGAAAAAACTAGTTTAAAAAGTCCAGCTGTTTCCAATTTATTCTTGCAGTTAAAGTGTCATGCTCTATCATTTAGCTGACCCTATGGCCCAAGAACATGTTTCCTCACACCAAGAGATCTCATAAGAAATTCAAGCATTGTGTAATTCTAACCTCCATTATTGTACTCCAGCATTGTTGGCAAATACACAATATGTGCGTGGCCCAACCAAGATTGAGACCACCTCCTTACCTAAAAAAGATAAACCTAACAAAGTACAATAAACTTCCGATAATCCATCACCTTTAGTACCCAGGGGGTGCCGGATTATCAGATCTGTCTTGGGGTGGGGGGATGTCACCCCAGACCCCTCATAGCCCCCCCCCTTCCGATAGTCCGGCTTTGCCCCAGGCGTCCCCAATTCACCTGCTGGTCAGTTTCAGCAGCAGCTGAATCAGGGTAGCTGGGCACAGAGAAGCTCCAATTGTCCAGCAGCCCAGAGCACTTCCGGGTTCCCAATGGTGCCGGACCATCAGGAGTGCTGGAGCATTGGATGCTGGACCAATTGAGTTTTACTTTAATATGGAAAGTTTTGAGTTGCTACTTTGATAAGTCATACAATTATATATGGAGTGGATGACATTTTTCAAAACAAAGAAATGCTGCAAAATATTTCTCTCCACCTCAACCCCTTCAGTGAAGCTATCTAGATACTAATATTATATGGATTGTGCTGTAGTGCAACTGTTTACTCAGATAACCTGGAATAGCATTACTACAAAAATAAGCACATAAAGGAAGATATATTTGAGAAAAGTATATCAATACACCCTTTCCAAGTTCATCTTTTCTGTTCTAGGGCAGAGGAAAAGGAGATTAAAAACTGAAATTACTTATAGTTAAACAATATGGCTAAACTACAAGGAATCTGCTTATAACTGGAATAATCCCAGATATTATTGGACAAACCAGTAAAAATAATTT